AAAAATTAAATGAAAAAGAATATAAAAAACAATTGTAAGATTTTCTTCGAAGTACATAACGTGTGATCAAAATATAATTTGGTCATACCTGCACATCCTTCTTCCATGCTCGGCGTGTGAGCTCCCCTTGAGTCAAAAGTTCTGCAAACTGAGCACTGTCATTGGCATCGTATATTGATCCAGGCCGCAATCCATCACCAATTGAGAGTGCCACGTCATACTGATTGCATATATCAAGGATGTCATCCCAATGCTCATAAGCAAAGTTCTCCTTGTGATAAGTCAAGCACCACTTCGCATGAATTGATCCTCCGCGTGAAACAATTCCCGTCATACGCTTTGCTGTCAGTGGTATGTAACGAAGCAGAACCCCAGCATGGATGGTGAAGTAATCAACACCCTGCTCAGCTTGTTCAATCAGGGTATCCCTAAAAACTTCCCAGTTAAGATTTTCCGCAATACCATCTACTTTCTCAAGTGCTTGGTAGATGGGCACAGTCCCCACTGGTACAGAAGAGTTACGCATGATCCATTCACGGGTCTCATGGATGTGGCGACCTGTAGAGAGATCCATTATGGTGTCGGCACCCCACATGGTTGCCCATTGAAGTTTGTGCACTTCTTCCTCTATATTACTCACCACAGCTGAATTTCCAATATTTGCATTGATTTTAACCAAGAAGTTCCTTCCAACAATCATTGGCTCCAATTCCAAGTGCTTCTTGTTAGAAGGTATAATTGCCCGTCCACGTGCAACCTCTGACCTTACAAATTCTGCGTCAAGCTTCTCACGAGCAGCACAGAATAACATCTCTTCAGTTATAATTCCCTGCTTGGCATAATACATCTGGGTGTATCTTGGTCCACCTAACTTTTCTCGCCTGTCAATCCACTCTTTCCGAATTTTAGGGAGCCCTGTCAAAACAAATGTTTGTTTGAACATACTTTTTTATGATCTAGGCTGTTGTGAAACAGTATAGAAAAATAAATTGCAATTTAAGCTCATAAGACATGAAAAAGAAGATATGCAATGACAAAGGAATACATCACATTATGTCCATCTATAGTTCGAGTATCCTGGCTTGACGTAATAGGTTGAAGACAAAATTTGGCACTAGAATGAAGAAAAGACCAAACTCATCGTATAACATATGAATGCAACAGGAACGACATATGAATGAAAAGAACAGAAAGAATATATGAACAAGAACTGCTACTAAATCAAGTCTAGAATATGAAAGTAGTTTCAGAAATAGGAACACATCTGGAATAGAAAAGAATACGAAGGGCAGACATTTAAGACTAAGTGGATGATAAAAAATTTAGAGCCTACCAACTCGTGGATTGATGTCTTGAGGACCACTAGTGTCATATGTGTCAAAGTATGGTTCCTCTCCAGCCAGATGTATACGTCGAAATGGAACAGTAAGTACATGACCAGATTGTTCATGAACAACTTCCCTGAAAATGGGAACCCCAATAAAAAAAAGTCAATCCAGGATACAGATATCAGTGGATGTTCTTTGAACACTTTGACAGATACATTGTGTTAGAAATTGATAATTCAAAAGGAAAAACACATATAGTAACAAAAAAAAACAAATAACTGCATGCTAACTGTGTAACAAAGAAATTCACTGTGTATACATGCCTGTTTTCCTTTGTGCTCTTAGGAAAGCATTGTTCAAACGACGGCAGCGGGAGAAAATCAGGGGCAGCAGGATCTACTGTGTGTTTACTCTGTTTGGGCTTTTGAGAACTTTTGGTTGAAGGATCAAAAGTTAAAGTTGCTCTTGGCACAAAACTCATTGAAGTGGGCATGTCCTTCTCACATAGATTTGAAATGCATTTGCCTACTTCAAATCCAGGCAAGAAAGTAGAACTAGGCAACTTCCCAGGAGGACTACTTTTCTTGCAGACAACAGAAGTCAGAGCAGTGTGTATGGACGCCATATCTGAAAAACAGGATACAATCAGTCACGACGTGCTAAGTAACCAAGGAAGAATAGTGATTTACCCCTAGAAGGAAGGTGATCATAAATGTAACAGATTCAAAATCAGTTGTATATTGACAAATAGTGGCGACTTCTTAAAACTACTTGCATAGACAAATTCGAATCAATATTGTATATGAATTGTTACTTTTAAGAACAAAATGCATTGGGGTTTACCCCTCTACGATGATATTTCCCTCCCTGAGTTTGTAATGGCTAACATTTACCACATATTATTTTACTTGTCCAGATGACAGTTTCATCCAAATACAAAGGGCATGTCAAGGTAAATGAACAAAGTCTTCTTCTGTATGTGAAAGGATCTGAGGATCTCACTAGAAAGAGGGAGCAAAATGCACTCTGGAAAGCTTTGGGGCAATATGGTTCTGGGGAATTTCTGGAACTATAATATCCAAATGCAGCCCACCTTCTGTTTAACAAAATCGTCCATTCTATTTTGATAAAGAGGCAATCTCGGAGTGTTAACATTTCAAACAATTTTCAACTGTTTTCACGGTTAGTGGATTCACTCCTGATTGATATCTTCTGTATTTTACAGTTGATTATCCAACTCCACTGTATATTAAAGTTGAACTCAAAAATGAAACCTTTCTTTCTCTCATAAACAAGTCTAAGTCTTCCATCAGAAACTAACCTTGGAGAATTACAATATTATTTAATAAACTGTGATCATCAAACAAACCTACTATTCAATTTCAATTTCAATTCAAATTTCCTGGTTTTTACTGTTGTAACATCTGCATCAAAGATACTGTTTTCTCTATAAATTGCAAAGATTACTATACTTAACAAAATTTCATCAACAAACAGATCTACCAAAACTGAATCAGAAACAAACTACTCTGATTCTTCCTGCATCATTGAGTTAAATCAAGATTTATCCTTCTACAATCTAAAGAATTTTCAGAAATAAAGAGCTAACTACTAAGAAATACAAGAACTAAATATTCAAAAAAATAGCTACAGATTCATGCAAAGAGATTTATGAAGTTTCAAACTTTCAATTAATCATGCAAAACACTAACAATTCAACTCATCAAACCAGTCGATCAAAGAACTACAACTATTTCAGAAATCAAAACTGCAGATTCGATGATAAGATTGATTCAAAATTGATCTAAAATTACAAAATAAAAAAAGAACTAAGATGACTGAAATTTTTACAAATTTTTCTAGAGATTATCGATGAAATCCTTGATATGATTAAAGAAATTGAATCAGAGATCGATGAAATTTTGTAAGATTAGGGTTCTTAAATCATGAAATGTTAACCTGAAAAGCTAGTAATGTTGTTGCTCTCACACAAACTTTATCGCTTCGCCAAGTAAGTGGAGAAGAAAAGAGTGAAGTAATTGCAGAAATGCAGAATAGAGAGTTAGTTTGCAGTCGTTTTTATAGCGTGATATTATCAGTGGTACATGACGCACTAACGCATATCTC